CTCCAGCTCACATTGTAAAGTGGTGGATGACGCACTGATAGCCTTTTGCCTACACTTGTAGCCTATGGTGAATGGGAGGCACGCTTCAATTAGGCCTACCAGTTGAGGAATACAAATAGTAGTCTTTTTAATCGTGCACCAAAACTGTTTTTAACACACAATTGCATCTAGAATTGTTGCGCAATGAATGGGCTTATAAAAGCATGTTTTAGGCTACTCCAGCAGCAACCAGCTGAGGCGCTACAGGAGAAATCCCGCTCAAAATAGGCTTTGTATGCTGTGTGCATGTGATAGTTGTGTTGGATAAATAAGAAAGGGTACAAGAGGACTAACGACAATACACACACACCAATTTAATTCCACTAAATTATGCAAATTAACCTATAGACGATAAGCATAACGGTCAAATGTATTTCCATTGACTGGTATTTCCATCAATTAATAAAACGCATTATTTTGCAATGGGATTCTTTTTCTCCCGGTCATTTTGGCCAGCAATAGTTTTATTTATCCTTTTTTATTTATTTTTACCAAAATGCCATCAATTGCCGGCTAACGGAAACCCTGATCTGCATGTGTGTGTGTGTGTCCGTGCATGTGTGTCCGTGCATGTGTGTTGTCATGACTCTCCTGGCTGAGGATCCAAAGGCCTCAGATCAGCTTGGCAAATGGCTGACATCAACCAGACCCTCTCACCCACAGAAGAGGGGAAGGGGGGCTGGGCCGGTTTTGACACTCGGTCGTAAATTAGGCAGGAGTGTCATTTCTCTCCTGCTCTCCAGTATTGGTAAAGTATCTCCAGAAGACTTTTGCCGCCAAAACTTTTTAACGTCCAAAAAGTAAACACTGGAACAATATTCCTAACATTCAAATGTTTGGAATGGTTAGTGGGGATCTAAAGAATAATCATGTCATATTGTTTATTATTTTGTGATGTCATTAAGGATGGTATCAAGAAATAACTGTAACTCGGAAAGTGTACACATTCTATCTGTCAAGTTTACACCCAAATGTTGTATAAAATATATGATTAAAGATTATGATTTTTGTTAAGATAGGAATGTGATTTTAGTTTTCTAACGAGATAATTGTTTTTCATGTAAACTATGCACAGTGACTAGCCACGCCCCAAGTGAGCACAGACATCTACCATCAGACCAGAAAGCGTGAAGCTGTGGCTACACGGCTTAAAATGGTTAGACCAGAAAGACCAGACGGACTCAAGCTGCAGCTTAGGTGTCCATTGGTTACGACCCTGAAAATCAACACGAGGTGAAGATGACAAAGTCGCCTCTCTAACAATCAATGTTACGGCTGAGTAGCTGTTCTAAGTACTGTATCGAAGAAGGTGAATTTAAGTAGGACCATCCTGTTACTCTCTTCAAACCATTGTCTACTACACTGCTCTCATCACCCCACTGGGGATCATCGACACGGCTGATTAGCTGTCTTCAGAGGACCACTCTTCCAGAACGAGTGAAAGGAAACACCACCCCTGTTGGTTTTAGCCCAGACTACATGACCAGTCATTTAAGCCACGGACAACTAAGAAGAAGGACATTGTGACCTCTGGTGGACAATCAAAGACTTCCACTCCAAGTTCGAGAGAAGACCCAACCGAACCCTTCCCAAGAAGGCTTGGGTCCAACAGAGATAAAACGACAAAGGAAGACATTCAGACATGTAAATACATTCATGACTTCTTCTCCAAATGGGCGGCGGTTAGGGTGCAAAGTATTATGATTACCGTGAGAATAGTTTCCAAATGTATAAGTGTTGTGTGTCTCTTTCTTTCTCTCTCTCTCTCTCTACTCCTCCCTCTTCTGGTAAACAAGCAGTCATGTTGTTGTTAGTCCGCTAGGGACTTTTTCCTCATTTATTAAGTATGTATGTATTCTGTGTTATTATTTAGTTAGCTAGTAAATAAATAATTAAGCTAATTTGTGTAGTGCTGAATCATAAGTAAAGCTGGGATTCTTGCGGATCCAAGAATTATGCAACGTTCAGAATGAGACTGATAAGAGGTAATGATTAATAAGTGACTGTTATCAATATATAACATATATATATTTTAGAGTTAAATTCGGGAGATGGTAACTCTATAAACAACTTCTTCTGTGGTGCCCCAAATTCCTAATTAGTTAATTGTTACATGATTAATTGAATCGGGTAACAATTAAACATAGTTAGTTGATTCGATAAATAACAGTCATCACATTAATGAAAGTCATGTCACGACAGTGTGCTCGTGTGTGTGGCCCGCATGCAGAGCTAGGCCTAGCCCAGCTGATCAAAAAGGGCTTATGATGACACACACACACAGATCCATGATGAGTCACAATATAGGTCAGACAGAAGCTCTGTTGACATGAGCACAGCTCGCCTTTACTTTAGAATTCAACACCAGCAGCATCTCAACATAGTCCAGTGAAAGTCAAATACAGTGTGTCCCTCTGTCTGTATCAAACTAGAGCTGGTTGAAACAATCACTGCTTGGCTGCTGTTGCTAAGGAGTTCTTGGACTTGTTGGACAGGGAAGTGTGTGTGTTCTATAGAAGGCATTTCTACCTAAATGTTGGGTAACGTTATGTCCTTCTGAATGAGACCCTGTTGTAGGACTGGGGTGAATTTGCCCCGTCAGACTAGACTAGGGTTTGACAAAGAGCTACTGTGGGCTGTTGCAGTGCTTGCATAAATAAAGTCAGTTATGTGGTTCTTCAATGTGTGTGTGTGTGTGTGTGTGTGTGTGTGTGATATGAGCTAGCGTGGTACAGTACCTGTTGTACCTGAAGCTCTTCACACCCCTGTCATCAAAGCAGGAGGTGGAAACCATTATCTGCTTCACGTTCTCTCTCTCTCTCTCTCAGTTCCAGCTGTGTGTTGCTGAAAAGCTGCCAGCCTCGTAGGCAAGGAAAAGATCAGGTGATGGAGAGAGAGAGAGAGCGAGAGAGAGAGAGAGAGATGCAAATAATGCAAATATATTTTGTTGTTAGATTACATGCTGTAGAAAATAATCAGTGTGGTTCCACCAAACAATCCAGAAGGGTTGTACACTATAGACTATGTCTTTCTATCTCCAGTGCTCTCTTTGAATACAGGAAGGTCATCTTTCATCTTCAATTCTGATTGATTTCATTTATTAGAGTGGACCGGCATAATGGTTGCCTCTTAACAATACAGTAGAAAAACATATTTTATGTATTTTGTAACAGCTGCTTACATAATGATCCAGCATCAGGAACATTTCAATCTATTGAAAGGCTTAAGAAGAGAGCTATTGGCTTAACAACAGCAGCAGAGCATAGCAGTACTCTTGTTGAGGTTGTTATAACGTTGGAGGAATCAGTGTGATTCTGGTGTGTTTGCCTCAGCTAACTAGACCTGTCAGTTTTGGCTTGGCTGTTGCATAACAGCAATCTGGAAATTGGCAGAGAGCTGTCGGCTTCTAACTAACCTCTAAAAGAGAGATGGTTAGAAAAAGAGAGGGAGAGAGAGAGAGAAGAGGTGGGGGTAAAGTAAATTTCCGCCACGTTGGTGCAGTAGACATACAAAATAGACTGGTGTTAATAACATGCCATTGCCATAGAAACAAAAATCGGCAGTAATAATTTTACTGATGCCACAGACAGACAGATGGCTATTGCAGACTTCCTCTTATCCAACACTTCCTGGGTGCTTAGCCATTCACAGCCAGAGCTGCCAAGTGCCACCTAATCCAGTGCCAGAGCTGCTGTCCAACTGGTCTCTGTGCTAATGTAACACTGTTTCCTTTCCTCTTTGTCCAACCCAGTACAGGTGGCGTCACATCTGCCCACTAGGTGGGTTTAGTAGTGTAATAGTCCCAGAATATTTAAATTAATGGATCCTGCCATCCTTGTCGTGCTTTTAGTGTGGGCATCAAATAGCTGACATTTTCTCTAAGGTGATGACTCATCCAGCTATGAGGCTGACGCTTCTGTTGCTGCTTCCATAAAAGTACATCAGGGCAGAGATACCGACACACACACTGACACTCACACGTGTACCTGTAAATATTTGTCCTAGCTGCCAATGTAGTGCTGAGTTGAGAGTACTGTTAGATAAACCCTCCTCCAGACTTAAAGAGATGGTGTGTGTGTGTGTGTGTGTGTGTGTGTGTGTGTGTGTGTGTGTGTGTGTGTGTGTGTGTGTGTGTGTGTGTGTGTGTGTGTGTGTGTGTGTGTGTGAGAGAGAGAGCGAGGAAGGGAGAGGGAGAGACGTAGTGATTCTGATTCAACACTGACAGTAATTGAGCTTGTGTCCTAGAGACGACACTATTGTGATAGTCCAAATACTTATGACACCTTCATATCAGAGTATAGAGGCCGAATTAAAAGTTTTAGCTTCAGTCCAAATAAAGGGAGTGTATGTTACTTAGTATTTTATGTTAACCAGAGGAATTAAACATAAAGCCCGAAGTTTCCATAAACAGAGCCAACTTGTTTCATGGCATTCAGAGTTATGCAATGTGTGTGGTGTGTGTGTGTGTGTGTGTGTGTGTGTGTGTGTGTGTGTGTGTGTGTGTGTGTGTGTGTGTGTGTGTGTGTGTGTGTGTGTGTGTGTGTGTGTGTGTGTGTGTGTATGAATCTATAGTCGGAGGAATAGGTCAGAGTGTTCTGCGTCTGGATGGTAAACGCTGTGTTCGGAAAATAAATTATTCAGAGAGAATAATCACACTGTAGTAGGATGGAGTTAGGCTGGTGTGTGTTTGTGTGCATCACTACGTTTTCTGTTACTTGTTCGATATCTGTTTATTGGACATACAAAAGAAACAAAAACAAGATTTCCATTTTTTTTAGGATTAGCTGTTAATGTGTTTGCATGTTTGATATATTTTCCACTAACAAAATGTCTGCCTGTTTCTATTTCTCTCTCCTTCTCTCCAGTGACACAAGCCGTTAGCCACCTCTCCAGTCCTGCCTGTGTGTCCGTCCCCTAAACTTGTCACCTGTTCCTGTCCGTCCCCTAACCCTATCCCCCAGTCCACCCCCTGACCTGGTTCCTCAGTATGAGTTCTTCTCCGCTGGGTTCCCGTGGCAACATGGACATTCTGGAGGAGCTGCAGCTGATCGCAGCCCAGAACCTGGAGAGGCTAGAGATCAACAAGTACTATGATGTCATCAGGGAGCTGGGCAAGGGCACCTACGGCAAGGTAGACCTGGTCATACACAAGATCAGAGGTGAGGACACACATGCACATGCACACATACACACACTAGACTTGATCTTGAGGATACACACATTTAACATGATTATTCACTAGTCCATTAAACTACAGCTCATAAATCTACAGGATTACGTGTAGCATGATCAACTATAACAATCATTCATCTCTCACATGTTGTTATCCCCCCAGGCACCAAGATGGCCCTGAAGTTCCTGAGGAAGAAGACGACCAAGCTGAAGTCGTTCCTGAGGGAGTACAGCATCTCTCTCTACCTCTCTCCCTGTCCCTTCATCATTAACATGTTTGGGATCGCCTTCGAGACTGATGACTACTACGTGTTTGCCCAGGAGTATGCCCTGGCTGGGGACCTCTTCGACATCATCCCTCCACAGGTACAAAGAGACAGAAATACAGGGATGCTTATTTGGGATGTTCTGTTATAATGGCTATGTAGGTTATGTTGTAAACATGAATTGGCTCTTAATAATGTTCAATGACAGTTTATAATAGCTTTTTGTCACATTGCTTGTAAGGTTCCAGGTTCCAGTGCTTCATAACACATTTATAGTGGTTGTCATTACAGACGTCTTTGAGGTTTATATTGTTTTCTAACCTCCTCCCCTCTCCATCCAGGTTGGTCTCCCGGAGACGGTTGCTAAGCGCTGTGTGCACCAGATTGCCATCGCCCTGGACTACCTTCACTGTAAGAAGTTGGTGCACCGAGACATCAAGCCTGAGAACATCCTCATCTTCGACCGCGAGTGCCGCAAGGTCAAATTGTCCGACTTCGGCATGACACGCTGCGCTGGCTCGCCGGTCAAACGTGTGAGTGGGTCAAATCACATGCAACTTTATTTAAAAATACAAAAGTAGCGAACTGTATGGGAAATAGGGTGTCGTTTGAGATGCAGAAATTACCAAGTATGTCATAAAAGAGACCAGACCTCATGGGAGCCAACTTAAATAAAGAATGAAATCTTCCTCATCAATAAACAAATATTATTTATTCCTCTCCTCCCAGGTGAGCGGTACCATCCCGTACACGGCTCCGGAGCTGTGCGATGCGTCTCGCCACGAGGGCTTCTGCGTGGACTACAGCACGGATGTGTGGGCTTTTGGCGTCCTCCTCTTCTGCATGCTGACCGGTAACTTCCCCTGGGAGAAGGCCCTTCCCTCCGACTCCTTTTACCAGGAGTTCACCCGCTGGCAGAGACACTGCACGGGCACCGTACCCTCGCAGTGGCGCCGCTTCACAGAGCAGGCCCTCCGCATGTTCCGCAGGCTCCTCTCTGTAGAGCAGGGCAGACGCTGCTCCGTCAAAGAGGTGTTTGGCTACTTCAGCCACAGCTGGATGCTGGATGGAGACAGCAACGGGAATGGAGGAGGGGGTGGAGAGAGAGAGAGGGAGAGAGGAGGAGGGGTGAGGGTGGAGGGGGAAGGGAGAAGTACGTCATCCTCGTCTGGAGAGGACGATGAAGACATGCTGGTGGAGAGGATGAAACAGCAGACTCTGTCTCCTCTCTCTCCTCTGTCTCCGGTGTCTGTGGAGAGGGGGACTGGGGGGACGAAGGCAGGGATGATGGAGTCAGGTGGAGGACACCATTTTGTGTCTGTTTCCACCACCAGCTCCGTATCCTCTACTAACAGCTATGAACGCATGCCCAGAGACAGCATCAGCAACAACAACCAGCCTCCCGGACGCATACTGGTGGCTACACCTATAGAGATCTGTGTCTGAGAGATGTGTGTGTGAGACGGGCCTGAGAAGGACTGAAATACTGCGTACAGTACACATACATGCACACACAGACACCTACATCCATATACACACACATATCCATACATACATGCATTTGGAAAGTATTCAGACCTCGACTTTTTCCACTTTGTTACGTTACAGCCTAATTCTAAAATTGATTAAATAGTTTTTTCCCTCATCAATCTACACACAATACCCCATAATGACAAAGCAAAAACATGTTTTAAGAAATGTTTGCAAATTTATTAAAAATGAAAAACTGAAATATTACATTTACATAAGGATTCAGACCCTTTACTCAGAACTTTGTTGAAGCACCTTTGGCAGCGATTACAGCCTCAAGTCTTCTTGGGTATGATGCTACAAGCTTGGCACACCTGTATTTGGGGAGTTTCTCCCATTCTTCTCTGCAGATCCTCTCAAGCTCTGTCAGGTTGGATGGGGAGCATCACTGCACAGCTATTTTCAGGTCTCTCCAGAGATGTTAGATCGGGTTCAAGTCCTGGTTCTGGCGGGGCCACTGAAGGACATTCAGAGACTTGTCCCGAAGCCACTCCTGCGTTGTTTTGGCTGTGTGCTTAGGGTCGTTGTCCTGTTGGAAGGTGAACCTTCACCCCAGTCTGAGGTTCTGAGCGCTCTGGAGTTTTCATCAAGGATCTCTCTGTACTTTGCTCCGTTCATCTTTCCCTCAACCCTGACTAGTCTCCCAGTTCCTGCCGCTGAAAAACATTCCCACAGCATGATGCTGCCACCACCATGCTTCACCGTAGGGATGGTGTCAGGTTTCCTCCAGACGTGACACTTGGCATTCAGGCCAAAGAGTTCAATCTTGGTTTCATCAGACCAGAGAATCTTGTTTCTCATGATCAGAGTCCTTTAGGTGCATCTTGGCAAATTCCAAGTGGGCTGTCATGTGCCTTTTACTGAGGAGTGGCTTCCGTCTGGCCACTCTACCATAAAGGCCTGATTGGTGGAGTGCTGCAGAGATGGTTGTCCTTCTGGAAGGTTCTCCTATCTTCACAGAGGAACTCTAGAGCTCTGTCAGAGTGACCATCGGGTTCTTGGTCACCTCCCTGACCAAGGCCCTTCTCCCCCGATTGCTCAGCTTGGCCGGGCGGCCAGCACTAGGAAGAGTCTTGGTGGTTCCAAACTTATTCCATTTAAGAATGATGGAGGCCACTGTGTTCTTGGGGACCTTCAATGCTGCAGAAATTTTTTGGTACCTCGACACAATCCTGTCTCGGAATTCTACGGACAATTCCTTCGACCTCATGGATTGGTTTTTGCTCTGACATGCACTGTCAACTGTGGGACCTTATATAGACAGGTGTGTGCCTTTCCCAATCATGTCCAATCAATTGAATTTACCACAGGTGAACTCCAATCAAGTTGTAGAAACATCTCAAGGATGGTCAATGGAAACAGGATGCACCAGAGCTCAATTTCGAGTCTCATAGCAAAGGGTCTGAATACTTATGTAAATAAGGTAGTTCTGTTTTTTATTTTTAATACATTTGCAACTATTTCTAAAAACCTGTTTTCACTTTGTCATTATGGGGTATTGTGTGAAGATTGGTGAGGAAAGAAATTAATGTAATCAATTTTAGAATAAGGCTGTAACGTAACAAAATGTGGAGAAAGTCAAGGGGTCTGAATACTTTCCGAATGCACTGTGCATACAAATGTTCACACACTCTCATACATACTATGTATACTCATACTCATACACAGACACATACTATAACTATACGTTATTATCCTTACAAAAAGAAACTTGAGAACAGGGTCAAAAACAAGGAAATTTAATGAATTAATGAGTTAACATTTTGCCAAATAAAAAGGGATCAACTCAAGACATTCCTGATGATTCCAGTTGGGGTCTTAGGATAAAATGATCCAGTCAGAGATCCAGTGATAAGTTATTCTACAGAGATGGCACATCTTTAGATCAACCAACCAACCCAGACAGACGGACAGACAAGACATGGAAAGAGAGGTTGAAAAACACATTGTGATCTCAAATGCTGGTATTCAGACAGTCTCAGAATAAGACCAAAATGTATTTCTTAAAGCAATATATTTTCCCCCAAAAAAGACTGAAATCGAAGGTGAATTGAGCTTCAGAACTGGCATGGCGGAACCATTTATGAAAAAGCCAAGAGATGGAGATGTTCTTTTGATTAGTATTTTTGAAGCTGATATAAATAACTTGTAAAATGTTCCTCAATGGAAGAATATCATCAAAATGAACAGCAGTTTTGATGTTTACTGTAATGCAATGTGAACTCTGGTACAAAGTATGTATGTGTGTGTGTACAGTATGTATGTATCACTGTATGTTCCGTGTGTATGGATTGGAAATATGATTAGGTGGATTTCTATTTTGCCTTTGGATTTACTTTATTTATTTCAATCCTAAATAACCAGATTAGCTTTAGGTGTTTTGTGTTTGACTAATTTCAGTAAAGATTTCTGGACTCTCTAGTGCCAAATCTCTGCTTGGTCTTCTGCAACACATTTTGAACAGGACATTTAATACTGTTGCAACAACTGGATCTTGAAAATTACTGTGTTTAATAGTAGTTGTTGCATGGAGTATTCTCTCTCCAGTTTATGATTTAGATTTAGTCTGATGATGTGCTACACATTAATATTGGATCATTCAAAGCCACCAGATGGAGAAGAGTAAGGCATTAAGTTGGTAACACTTTATATGGATAGTCCCAAGTAGATGGTTTGTAGATGTAGACAATAACTGTCAACATTTCAACTAACTATCCATCAGGGTTGGGGTCAATTCCATTTAAATTCTAGTCAATTCAGGAAGTACACTGAAATTCCAATTCCAATTCTCTTCAATGCTTTTCAATTAGGAACATTTGGAATTGGAATTTGGTTTACTTTCTGAATTGCCTGGAATTAAAATAGAATTGACCCTAACCCTGCTATCCACCAACCCTAACCTTAACCTTAACCCTTATCCTAACCCTGAACTTAACCCTTACCTTATTCTAAACCTAACCCTAAGCGCAACCTTAGCAAGCAGTTGCTTATCAACAGTTTGTTGATAGTATGACCATCTGTAGATAATGTATGTGGGACTATCCAAATAAAGTGTGACCATTTAGATGAAGTTTTTTTTAGTACCAGTCAAAAGTTTGGACACTCCTACTCATTCAAGGGCTTTTCTTTATTTTTACTATTTTCTACATTGTAGAATAATAGTGAAGACATCAAAACTATTAAATAACACATATGAAATCATGTAGTAACCAAAAAAGTGTTAAACAAATCAACATATTTATATTCTTCAAAGTAGCCACCATTTGCCTTGATGACAGCTTTGCACACTCTTGGCATTCTCTCAACCAGCTTCATGAGGAATGCTTTTCTAACAGTCTTGAAGGAGTTCCCACATATGCTGAGCACTTGTTGGCTGCTTTTCCTTCACTCTGCGGTCAAACTCATCCCAAACCATCTCAATTGGGTTGAGGTCGGGTGATTTGTGGTGGCTAGGTCATCTGATGCAGCACTCATCACTCTCCTTCTTGGTCAAATAGCCCTAACACAGCCTGGAGGTGTATCTTGGGTCATTGTCCTGTTGAAAAACAAATGATAGTCCCACTAAGCGCAAACCAGATGGGATGGCGTATCACTACAGAATGCTGTGGTAGCCATGCTGGTTAAATGTGCCTTGAATTATAAATAAATCACAGACAGTGTCACCAGCAAAGCACCATCACACCTCCTCCTCCATGCTTCACGGTGGGAACCACACATGCGGAGATCATCCGTTCACCTACTCTGCGTCTCACAAAGACACGGCGGTTGGAACCAAAAATCTCAAATTTGGACTCATCAGACCAAAGGACAGATTTCCACCGGTCTAATGTCCATCGCTCGTGTTTCTTGGCCCAAGCAAGTCTCTTCTTCTTATTGGTGTCCTTTAGTAGTGGTTTCTTTGCAGCAATTCGACCATGAAGGCCTAATTCGCGCAGTCTCCTCTGAACAATTGATGTTGAGATGTGCCTGTTACTTGAACTCTGTGAAGCATTTATTTGTGCTGCAATCTGAGGTGCAGTTAACTCTAATGAACTTATCCTCTGCAGCAAAGGTAACTCTGGGCCTTCCTTTCCTGTGGCAGTCCTCATGAGAGCCAGTTATATCATAGCGCTTGATGGTTTCTGCGACTGCACTTGAAGAAACTTTCAAAGTTCTTGAAATCTTCCGGATTGACTGACCTTCATGTCTTAAAGTAATGATGGACTGTCGTTTCTCTTTGCTTATTTGAGATGTTCTTGCCATAATATGGACTTGGTCGTTTACCAAATAGGTCTATCTTCTGTATACCACCCCTACCTTGTCACAACACAACTGATTGGCTCAAACGCATTAAGAAGGAAGAAATTCCACAAATGAACCTTTAACAAGGCACACCTGTTAATTGAAATGCATTCCAGGTGACTACCTCATGAAGCTGGTTGAGATAATACCAAGAGTGTGCAAAGCTGTCATCAAGGCAAAGGGGAACTACTTTGAAGAATCTCAAATATAAAATATATTTTGATTTGTTTAACACTTTCTTTGGTTACTACATGATTCCATATGTGTTATTTCATAGTTTTGATGTCTTCACTGTTATTCTACAATGTAGAAAATAGTCAAAATAAAGAAAAACCCTGGAATGAGTAGGTGTGTCCAAACATTTGACTGGTACTGTATTTTACAGATAACTTTATTCTGCTGCAGCAAGCCAAAATGTCCCAGAGCCTCCTGTTTGGAGACAGACAGATAGCTCTTAATGATGTCCAACACTTTATCCCTGCACCTTAACACATATCTACTTCATTTTTACAAATTTTAGTCAA